GGAATAGCGCCCCATCATGGGTGTCAGCGGGAGGAATAGCGCCCCATCATTGGTGTCAGCGGGAGGAATAGCGCCCCATCATTGGTGTCAGTGGGAGGAATAGTGCCCCATCATTGGTATTAGTTGGAGCAATAGTACCTAATTGTTTATAACAGTGGGAGGAATTGTGCCTCATCACTGGTGTCAGTAGAGGGAAACATTGGTAGTTGGTGCCAGTGAAAGAAATGGTGCCTCCTTATTGGTATCAGCGGGAGGACTAGTACTCAGAGGGCCAGATAAAGGCAAGCAAAGGGCCACAATCTGAGACCACTGGAGTAGAGAATCCTTCAATCTTGTGTAGCTATATAGTACCACCTAGTGGCCACATTACAGTATAGCTGTAATCAGAAATAATGTTTGTCCTGTAAATGAACATGATACTTCCACTTCTCTCCTTAGGATCATACAAGCACAAATTAGCTACAGTGAAATCCTTAGTTGCCAGTTTAGCTGCAGAACCGACAAATTGCACAGAATAAAAGGAATCTGAAAATGATTTGATTTGATGCGGAGTCCTACTGGTAACACTTTCATGGTGCCACATCCCATAAGACCTGCATGACTCCGAAATGGAAAAATGGACTTTACAAATACCAATAATCATAAAGTGAGGTAATACAAATATATAGATTTATTAACAAAGTTTAAAAAGAGTTATCAGACATAAAGTAATAAAAAAAAAACCCTGGTTATTTGCAATATATATGTTCCAGAAATCTTCAGATGGCAGCTTGAGACCCCAATGTGTGTCAGCTCATAGAAAGTCTTCATCAGGAGGAAAGCGGTCTGTTCTGAAATACAAACATACACTCACGGCCTCTTTATTATGTACATCTGTTCAATTGCTTGGTAATGCAAATTGCTAATCAGCCAATCACATAGACGCAACTCAATGCATTCAGGCATCTAGACGTGGTGAAGACGACTTGCTGAAGTTCAAACTGAGCATCAGAATGGGAAAGAAAGGGGATTTAAGTGACTTTGATTGTGGCATGGCTGTTGGTGCCACACGGGCTGGTCTGAGTATTTAAAAAAACTGCTGGTCTACTGGGATTTTACAGAGAATGGTGCGAAAAAACAAATATGCAGTGAGCGGCAGTTGTGTGGGGAAAAATGCTTTTTTTATGTCCAAGGTCAGAGGAGAATGGGCAGACTGGTTCAAGATGATAGAAAGGCAACAGTAACTCAAATAACCACTTGTTACACCCAAGGTATGCAGAATACCATCTGACACATCAAATGCAAAACACATCGAACCTTGAAGCAGATGGGCTACAGCAGCAGAAGACCACACCAGGGGCCACTCCTGTCAGCTAAGAACAGGAAACGGAGGCTACAATTCACATTGACTCACCAAAACTGGACAACAGAAGATTGGTAAAATGTTGCCTGGTGTGAGGAGTCTTGATTTCCCTAGAGATGGTTGTGCGTGAAAATCCCAGTAGATCAGCAGTTTTTGAAATACTCAGACCAGCCTGTCTGGTTCAAAGTCACTTAAATCCCCTTTCTTTCCCATTTTGATGCTCAGTTTGAACTTCAGCAAGTCTTCACCACGTCTACATGCCTAAATGCGTTGAGTTGCTGCCATGTGATTGGCTGATTAGCAATTTGTGTTACCAAGCAATTGAACCTAATATGTACCTAATAAAGTGGCCGGTGAGTGTACATAAATATCAATACCAATTGATCATTACTTGTACAGACATACAGCCAATCATGGTATAGACTAATCATTGCTACCCAAGGATGCAAACTAAAGGCAGCTAGATGAGTGCGCGTCTCAAAAAGAAGGCCCTTGGGGTGGGATCAGATAGAGGGCAAGGGAGAAAGACCCAACTAATTTCATAAGAAGGCTGAAAAAAACTACCAAAAATAAAAATGAATATCGCATTTTAAGCCAAGTAAACATGATAAAAATCTGAAAAGGGGAAAAGTTCAAAACATCTATACACTAGGCTAGGGCTTCTGGGATTGCCTCAATATCATCAACCAGACCTGCAGCATGGACAGCACTGATTGCACATCAAAGAGGCAATGTGAATCCCAATGGGTTCATAATACAGGTACAGAGTAACCCCCGGTTCACACCTATGCGGCTGTGCGGGCCACATTTTGCTCAGGCACAAAAAAACCCATTTATTTGAATGGACTCCCGTGCCTGTGACACGCAGGGAAGAAGTCCCTGCACTTCTTTGGAAAACGCAGCCCACATGGGAACTTTGGTTCCCAGTACGGTTGCGTTTCCCAGTACGGGCGGCGTGCCATTAGAACTAATGGCCCTCGCCCGCGGATCCGCATTCCTCTGTGCGGGTGGTGCGGCTGCACGTATTTTCGTGTGGATCTGCAGCGGCACCACCCGCACAGATGTGAACCTAGGGTGAATGGATAGATAGGTGTGTCCTCCTATTCCATGGTTCTGGTAAATCTAAAGGAAACTGTCCCAATGTACAGCCTTAAGGATAAATATAAAGCTTTTTTTATTCCTGCAAAGAGTACATTAATGCTATACTAGTACATAGGGAAGCTGGAATTTAACCTCTTCCCTTCTCACCCATGTAGATAAACGGCCGGACGGGAGTGCTGTCAAAGCGTGTTGACGTTTTCTAAACGTCCCCCCGCATTCATTGCTTGGGAGTGCGCAGCACCGCGATCGGTGCCCACTGTGTCCAATCGCTCTACGGGACCGCTGTGTGAGGTCCCGATTCATGTGATCACTGACTGGCCAATCAATGATCACATGCAGAGTAGTAAACAAGATGTCACTTCTGACATCATTGCTTACTACGTGTGAAATCTGTGAATGATTACAGAGGTCACATGGTACAGGGCTATTCACAACAGCCTTGTACCATGTGACAAGCTGTGACCAATCACAGCTCTCACAGTATAAAAAACAGAAAAAAATACGAGCACTGGATAATAACCAAAGAGCGACTAGCATGAAAGGCAAACCTCAGAAGCCTCCATAGTAAATGTATAGATATAACATGCAGCGCTAATAAACTAATACAATAAAAACAAGTGACAATAAAATGCAATAATCAGAATGATAATAATAGTATAATCCCTGCTTGATGATATTAGTAGAGGGATAGTGAAATGTCTTTAACGTCCAAAGATATGCTCTACACTATTGATTGAGCATAACCAACATAAGTGATTCTGCGGTGCATGGTGCAGATTCTCAAGACAGAATGGTGAGAACATTAGTGACTTCTGTGACCACGTTCATCCCACAGAGGTGAATGTAGATTGCACTAACCAGAAAGCGCAATGGTAATGCGCATTTGAGTGTTAACCAACTCCTGGTCATCCACCTATGGGTACTGGATCACAGCAAGGATCGTCTGGCCTGCGTCAGCAAAGCAAGTGTCTCAACCTCAGGGTCTCCAGGTACCAGGAGATAAGTAATCCTCTCACCACCAGGGGGAGCTTGTTTCACCATGCATATAGTGGCCACCAGGTCATCATTTTCTACCTTGAAGGAGGGGGGGCTCGGGAGTAACGAGCCCAAACACAGAAGAATCTGATAGTGTAGTACTTTAATGAAAGCCACAGGTATACAAGTAAGAATGCACTACTCACATAAGAGTGGTAAGGAGCTGGCAATGGAGAAATCAAAAAATGGCCGCCGGCCGTCCACGAGGGCCGTGCGGTGTGACGTCACAGGATATAGGGCACCTTCCTAACGCGTTTCGTGCCCTTTGAAAACGTGCAAGCGCACGAAACACGTTATTTATCATCATACAACTAAAAATGTCCACATCTATCTATACATTATTAACCTCTTCGCACCGGTGCCTCCTGGCCCTTTAGCAGTTTTAGAAGTCGGGAGGCAGGCGGGGTTTTAGTGTCATGTGACAGCTGTGATTCGCCGGCACGGCAGTCACATGATCGGAAAAGGTCCTGACTGAAAGGGGAGATTGGGACCTTTCCGTGAGTCACGGACATATGTGCTGGGAGTGCACGCTCTCTGCACATATGTATTTTCTAATTGCACGCAAATATGCGGCAGCTCGGCCTCAAGACCCAGATGCCAAGAGGCTGCATATTAGTGTTCGCTCGGCCTCAAGGGGTTAAGGGACAGGCATACTTTTGCATATCAAGTTCTGGTTATAATAATGACTCATCTTTAAGCTCAGCTTTCATTTTGTTTGAAATGACCATTTGACATCTCACCAATATCCTTTAAAATGAAGCGTCAGAAGTTCACCTTCAGGTTCCACCTGTATTTAGGGGGTAATATGTCCCATTTTCTCCCCCACATTGTGTCAGCGGGGCAGAGATCTTCTTCTTACAGCTACTGTCACACTTTAAAAGCAGTTTTCTGCGAATGCATGAACTACAAGTACCATCAGACACTGAGGTTGACAGCTTGTAGTTCTGAATGGACTGTGACGTTGCCTTATCGCCACAGTAAGCCTGGGTCATCATAGTCAGGTTGGATCGCCATAGTCAGCCTGTATGAAGGTACGGGATGAAAGCTGCAGCGCTGAGTTGACAGGAGTCTGGCATTGCACCCCTGACCCACAGTTCATGGGTGCAATGCTTTTCAGGTTCCCAATGGAAAAAAATAATAAAACACGCATAAATATGAGCATTTATTATTTTTCCCCAAAAAAGGTGAACTTACCCTTCAACAGGGAAACGTTTTATTAGATAATTGCACACAATTACAAGGCAGTTTTCCATTCATGTGTATAATGAACACATGGCATAGAGATCATACACAGCAGATACATAGTACAGCAGAGTCACAGCATAACAGTAGGTCAAAGAAGCCGCATAAAGACAATAGCCATGGAAAATCATATCATAGTCACAGAGGTGCAGACATGAAATGATGTAGTCAATCATGGCTAGGTCAGTCAAAGGGGGGGTGGAAGCAGGATAAAAGGGGGGGGGGGGGGCGAAGGGCAGACAAGGGAAGGAGCAGGACAAAATCTGAAACAGCAGCTGGATTAGGCAGTCACATACTTAGGAGCTTCTTTTGGTTCTAACTGATTTTCAGACACTCCATTTATTTCTGACGGATCCTCCGACTCTTCAATTTGGTTTAACTGATCTTCTGATATGACAGCGGGTTTGAATTTGATCTCATAGAGCCTCTCATTCTCCTCAGAGTGAAGATCATTATAGGAAATGGTCCTCAGGTGTGCAGGGAGGTGAGTAAACTCCTCCTCGTTTATATCGAAGTCTTTCATCTTATTCTGGAGAAGCCACCAGTGTCCGAAGAAGCCAACGTCCAGCACCCTGCCGGGGAATGCTGACCAGCGAGGCTTCAGATGGGAGCATTGGGTAGAGTACAGGTCACAGTCAGGATCACAAGGCGCTTCGTACAGAAGAGAGAAGATCATGAAGTTGATGTGGCGCAGACGTCCCTCGTTCCTCAGCTCCATCAGTCTCTGTATGTGTTGGTCAGAGCTCCCACTTCTTGTCCAGGGTGAGAGAAGGAGGAGACAGGAGGAGGCCTCTAGCAGGGAGCACTGGAAGGAGTCCTCAGAAGGCGCTTTGGATGAGCATATGCCAACACCTGCTAGAAGGGAAATGTACAGAGCGGCCTTGCCCGGGCGTTCCTTGGCACCAACAGCAATGTCTTTGCAGGCTTCACCATAGTCACGCAGGAGGCTTTTGGTCCAGACAACTAACAAAACAAAAGGACATCGTTACAACATGGAAATAAACGAAAGATTGTGAACCTATTGCTGTTCCAAAAGTCTCTGACTCCCCTCATCAAGTCGCTCAATTAAAGAAAATATCCTCAGCATCCCCCTAGATGTGCATGCCAACAGTCTCTAATCTCCTCCAGGAGAGAGCAAGCATGCTAGACTGGCGATCCTATGGGAATCTGCAACTTTATCCTGCATGGGTAAAGCAGCAGAGTCTCTTGAAAGTCCAACTAACTTAATCACCCACCCCCTTCCTTCCCCCACCATAGCATTTGAAAAATACTTGATGCTTCTGGATTTCTGGGGGGGGGGGGGGGGGGGGGGGGGGAGCATGTGATCTCCCCCCTGGGATGCAGTGTTTGGGTCTAAGTGGCCAATTGCTGGTCTCAAACATTGTCCCTTCACAAGGAGGAGGAAAATGTTAAAAAGCTGAAATGTATTCTGCTTATATGTTACTTTCCTTGGTCCCCCCCACTTCAATAACATGCTAATTCAGTTTTAAATGCGTTCACTGTTTTGTTTTTTTTTAAATAATAATGCACATTAATGTGGCAAACAATACTTGTAGTTCGTTCACAGGAAACTATGAATGAAGGAGCCATGTGGGGGGATGCACGCATTTGAATTGTGACAGCGGGTGCGGGGAGAGGACCCCCTGCTCACTGTCACTATGGGGGGGGATTGGTCAGAGTGCCGGCAGCTGCTTCAGTAAAACGTTACACCCCATATTCAGGGTATAACACCTAACATGTTAATAATAATGAACTTTTCCTTTACAATAAAACCCATTTTCATTCCTCTTGGGGGGAGGAGTTATGCAAATGTCAGAATGTATTGATGGGTGATATCAGTCTGGTGGAGTGGATGTTCCTAGGCAGGCTGTATTTACATGAAGATGACCCTATGTAATGCCCATGTGTGATGCTGAGCCTCCATGATTGAAAGAACTGAAATCCAATAAAGGAAGGATGCATCCAAAACCAATGCTGGGTGGATTGGACCATGAAAAACTGGGAGAACCACATACAAATGAATGAATGAATGAATGAAAAGGGCTGCCCAGGCACAGTAAGGCTGAGGAGGAAAGAGCTAGATAATGTAGGATATCCTCCAGCTGTAAAATAAGATGGGCTCTGACCATTTGGAAACTCAGGCACTGCCGAGGGCCCGGGGTCAGTAGGGGGCCCCATGAGATGCTCCTGGTACCTTTTTCATAGGCTTTTTTGAGTTTGGGCAAGGACACAGGGGCACCATGATCCCCTATTGCCCGGGGGCCCCATGAGTTGTCAGTCCGCCCCTGGCTCTGACTTTCTGTAGATTCTAATGTACATTATGGGAAGCTCACAGTGTGCAGTTAAATCAGAATAAGTGGTTCATGCCCTGGTTCACATCTATGCGGCCGTGCGGGCTGCGTTTTGTGCGGGCACGAGTGACCATTCATTTAAATGGACTCCTGTGCCCAGTGATACACAGGGAAGAAGTCCCCGCACTTCTTCTGAAAACGCAGCCCGCACGGGAACCTCGGTTGCCAATAGGTTGCGTTGCGTTTTCCAGTGCGGGAGGCGTGCCATTAAAACTAATGGCACCCGCCCGCGGGTCTGCATTTCTCTGTGCGGGTTGCACCTGCACAGATGTGAACCTAGCCTGAATACAGGAGAGGAGCCGGCACAACTGTGCTAGACTGAAGGTAAGCTTGGAGTTCAGCTCTAACACCTTCCAACAAGAATCTCAGAGGGCTTTATCCCGGCTCTGAAAAAGAAGCACAAGTATAACAAGGTCGGGGGTGGGCTTCTAGCAGAACCTGTAATGCCCTAAATGGACAACATGACAGGGTCTCTTTGATTACCAACTCTGTCCAAGAAGTCATCTCCTTATCCTGACTCTGTATTTGTTCAGCACTATAAGATCAGAGAACAAAGGAGGTCCAGAAGGTGGCCATCTAACTGTCAATTTCCTAAATACAGTTAGACCATCCCAAGTTCCTGCATACATGTTACTTTTAGGCACTTTCCAGATATGTTGAGCCACGTTTGCCTCATGATAGACTGTCACACCGATCGGTCATTCAGCCATGGAGGACTATTCATTCCTGGATCGCGGGCCATTTCATGACCCACAAGGACTAAGGTCGCGGCACATTTCAAGACCCGCAAGGACTGAGGTCATGACCCAATCCAAAAGGACTGAGAGGTCGCGGCCCAGTCCAAAAGACCACTGCCCATTTCACGACCCGCAAGGACTAATGTCGCAGCCCAGTCCAAAGGACCGAGAGACCGCGGCCCACTTCACAACCCGCAAGGGCAGAAAGATTGTGGCCCAGTCCAAAAGACCACTGTCTATTTCACGACCCGCAGGGACTAAGGTCGCAACCCAGCCCAAAGGAGCGAGCGGTCGCGGCCCATTTCACAACCTTCAAGGACTGAGGTCGCAGCCCAGTCCAAATACCACTGCCCATTTCACGACTTGCAAGGACTGAGGTTGCAGCCCAGTCCAAAGGACCGAGAGAACTCGGCCCATTTCACGACCCGCAAGGCCCTAGAGATCGTGGCCTAGTCCAAAAGGACCGCTGCCCATTTCACGACCCGCAAGGGCTGAAGTCACAGCCCAATCCAAAAGACCGAGAGGTCGTGGCACAGTCCAAAGGACTGAGAGACTGCGGCCCATTTCATGACCCGCAAGGGCTGAGAGACCGCGGCCTAGTCCAAAAGGACCGCTGCTCATTTCAAGACTCGCAAGGACTGAGGTCACTGCCCAGTCCCAGGTCTGAATCAAAGGCAGGTCATTGTCCAATCAAATGTGCAGTCATTTGCAGTTGCTTGCTAGTCCTTGCCCTGTCACAGCCATAAGTGAGAGCCTGGTCCAGAAAACAGGAGGAATGATGCACGTGTGCCCTCGACAAACATGGCGGCCTCGGTGCCCATCCCCCGTGCACTCACCGAACTTCCTATTTTTCATCCGCTCCCAGAAGCCCGGCTTCACCTGCTCTCCCACCACTGGGGGGCCGCACTGCTGGAGCACGACCTCCGGCACAGCACCCCAACACACCGCCAGGCCATCACTTTCCGCCAGCACCGCCGCCACTTCCGGCTTCTTTGCCCTTACACTTGCTCTCCAACAAATACCGTCCGCTGGAAACAAGAGCACGTGACCGGGGGTTCCGTCTTGTCTCCTTTACACAGGAACATTCTATTGACATAGTACAAGCTAAAAAAAAAAAAAAATCACACTGATGAAACATAAACATAATATTTGCTCCCCGAACTATATAAAGACCTCGGCGCTATAAAATGTTTTTACTATGTAAGAAGAAGACGTTCTGGACGGCTATGCTTTAATGAGGGGAACCATGTCGTAGGTGTGAAGCGCTTGAATGTCACCCTTCATAATGTGTAATAATAATTATGAGTAACGAGGCTAGCCGTTCACAATCATGCTCTGTATCCGGGAACGGAATCCCCCCTCGGGAGGTGGCGCAGGTGGTACAGTCCAGGAAGTGGTGACGAGGCCTCTGGAGCTGAGGGTGGTCACGTGAGCGGTGAGATGTCCCTCAGCTGACATGGCGGCCCCCCCGATCAGCTCCAGTTCCAAGGTAAGAATCCTCCTAGAGACAATGCTGAGAATGGTGAGGACATGGCTGACACCCCTGTGTGTGAGGGCCCCACAGGTCCAGCACCGAGGCAGGGATGTGCTTGTTAAAGGGGCTACACCATAAACGGGGATGGATTAAAGGGGAGCTCTGCACACAGACGGGGGAGGGTACTATTATCTGTAGGTGGGGGAGTCCTCTGCTGATTATTTTGCGGCTTGCTGAGGCTCCCCGTGAAGTAAATGTCGCTGAGTTCCCACGCGTCCTGCGTACTGTTGCCACCTCATCCCTTGAACCACTTCAGCTCTGGAAGGCTTTACCCTTTATGACCCAGGCGACTTTTTTTTTCCTATTCAGCACTGTGCTACTTTAACTGGCAATTGCGCAGTCATGCAACGCTGCACCCAAATGACATATTTTTTCACACAGCTTCCTTTTGGTAGTACTTGATCACCACTGCGCTTTTTTTTTTTTTTTTTTTTGCGATATAAATGAAAAAAGACCAGACGTTTTGAAAAAAAAAACAACTTTTTTTTTTGTACTTTCTGTGATAAAACAAAAAAAATCAAATTTCTTCATTAATTTAGGCCAAAATGTATTCTTCTCCATGTCCTTGGTTTAAAAAATCCCAATATGTTGGATTTGTGTGAACGTTATTGCGTCTACAAACCATGTGATATCTACTGGAATTTGTATTTTTTTTTTTTATACTTCTAATGGTGTTGATCAGTGACCTGTAGTGGGACTGCAATAGTGCGGTGGGCAATCTGACGCTGTCACTGGGTGGGAACTAACTGCCACCGACACTCATACAGTGGTCAGTGCTGATATGCTCAGCCCTGTCTTCTGCTTTGCCGATCGGTGGGCCCCGGCTATCAATTATTGGCCAGGAACCCGCTGATCGGCTTGTACTGAAACCAATCACAGCACAGCTGGGGCGACAGGCGCAAGTTCCTTACTCAGAAGAGCTGGATCACGTATTCGATACGTGATTCAGTGCAGGGATGACACTTTGCTGCTGAACATCCAAGTGTTACAGTCGGTAAGTGGGTAAACTGGAACACATTAACGTGTTACTAAACCCAGGACCCTGCATTCACTATATCTGGTCTCCCCGGACCCTGCATTCACTATATCTGGTCTCCCCGGACCCTGCATTCACTATATCTGGTCTCCCCGGACCCTGCATTCACTATATCTGGTCTCCCAGGACCCTGCATTCACTATATCTGGTCTCCCCGGACCCTGCATTCACTATATCTGGTCTCCCCGGACCCTGCATTCACTATATCTGGTCTCCCCGGACCCTGCATTCACTATATCTGGTCTCCCAGGACCCTGCATTCACTATATCTGGTCTCCCAGGACCCTGCATTCACTATATCTGGTCTCCCAGGACCCTGCATTCACTATATCTGGTCTCCCAGGACCCTGCATTCACTATATCCAATCTCCCAGGACCCTGCATTCACTATATCCGGTCTCCCCGGACCCTGCATTCCCTATATCCGGTCTCCACGGACCCTGCATTCACTATATCCGGTCTCCCCGGACCCCGCATTCACTATATCCGGTCTCCCCGGACCCCGCATTCACTATATCCGGTCTCCCCGGACCCCGCATTCACTATATCCGGTCTCCCCGGACCCCGCATTCACTATATCCGGTCTCCCCGGACCCCGCATTCACTATATCCGCTCTCCCCGGACCCCGCATTCACTATATCCGCTCTCCCCGGACCCCGCATTCACTATATCCGGTCTCCCCGGACCCCGCATTCACTATATCCGGTCTCCCCGGACCCCGCATTCACTATATCCGGTCTCCCCGGACCCCGCATTCACTATATCCGGTCTCCCCGGACCCCGCATTCACTATATCCGGTCTCCCCGGACCCCGCATTCACTATATCCGGTCTCCCCAGGACCCCGCATTCCCTATATCCGGTCTCCTCGGACCCTGTATCTGGTCTCCCAGGACCCTGCATTCACTATATCCGGTCTCCCCGAGTACACAGGACATTGCAATTAGTTTATTAAATATAAAGTGCTAAATACATTTTCTCATCAGCAATATATAGCAGTCGTGAGTTCTATCAGTGTCCAGCAGATCACTGGTTAATCTTGTAGGAGGAGTTTTCATTCTCCCTTGATTGTCCTATGAGGCTGCAGGACCCCTGACCCTCTGTCTGGACAGAGCTGATTGGCCCTGTGCTGATCATATGCTCGCTAGCAATACACGCCAAACTGAGCATGTGCAGCTTGCCCCCAAGGCTCTGTTCTATCAGCAGATGGATTGGGGACAGTAGAAGAAGGGAAGGAGCAGAGAAGACAGGATCAAACAGCATTTTTACACAATGCAGAGGATTAACCCCTTCGGTTCCACAGTGTGTATAACAAGCATGCTTTCCTGCATATACAGACTGATTGTACTGTTGTGGGTTCAGTAACACTTTAATTACTCAGGATCTGAGGCTAATGTCTTACACATGTAGCGGGTACAGCTGATTCCCCCTAGTGGGGCAGGAAGTGACAGCAGTGTGGAGATGATAACCAGAGGAGGATGGCTGTGGGTTCTCCATAATCCCTGTTCGCTGCCTGCCTTTCCTTTTCCCCCACTTTGCAGTCAGAGAACTGACTGTCTGGAAAAGCAGGACCAGGAGATTATTTTTCTCACTAACCCCCCCCCCCCTCACAGACAGGATGCTGGAACGCTTCCCTTTTTGTTTTTTTTTTAATAACAAACATGTCTATACTTACTTAGTTTTGCACGCAATCCTCTTCTTTTTGGGTTCCCGGCACCCCTGGCCCCTTCCCCTCGAGCAGCGCCCCCAGAGAAAGCTGCTCGCCCTGGGGGCACCGCTGCATGCTCATTCCCAAGCAGCTGCTTTATGTCTTCACTGTGGCTGCCCCCCCCCGTTCTCTCCTCATTAGCTCACTGGCTGTGATTGACTACCTTGTACCTATGATTGGGCCTCAAAGCATTTATGTGATCTAAGTAGTCATCTTTACATACAGACTGAGGAACTGTTCTGTCTGCACAGCTGCAGTGTTTGCTGGACTGTGTTAGCCCCCCGGGCAGATTGGTTGCACTTTTGTGGACTTGCTATTTGATTTCTATTTGCTCTCTCTATCCAGAGTTTGAAGAAGCTGCCGTCCTCCTGTCTGAGAACCCGAACGCAACAACCAAGAGTGCCAGTGAGGAGACAAGGCCGCAACATGCCACACTGCCTATGGGAGATGACAGTGAAGGAGAGGAGGGCGAGGAGGGCGAGACGGATCAGACCGAGGTAACTGCAGTCCCTACTGGTTACCTGTTTCTGTTTTTTTTTTTTCCAAGTGTGTGTATATAAGTAAAATAAACATACACTGTATTGCCAAAAGTATTGGTCGGCCGGCCTTTACACACACATGAACTTTAATGGCCTCCCAGTCTTAGTCCGTAGGGTTCAATATTGAGTTGGCCCCGCCCTTTGCAGCTATAACAGCTTCAACTCTTCTGGGAAGGCCGTCCACAAGGTTTAGGAGGGTGTCTATGGGAAGGTTTGACCATTCTTCCAGAAGCACATTTGTCAGGTCAGGCACTGATGTCGGGGGAGGAGGTCTGGCTCACAGTCTCCGCTCTAATTCATCCCAAAGGTGTTCTATGGGGTTGAGGTCAGGACTCTGTGCAGGCCAGTCAAGTTCCTCCACCCCAAACTGGCTCCTCCATGTCTTTATGGACCTTGCTTTGTGCACTGGAGCGCAGTCATGTTGGAACAGGAAGGGGTCATCCCCTAAACTCTTCCCACAAAGTTGGGAGCATGAAATTGTCCAAAATGTCTTGGTAGGTTGACACCTTAAGCCCAACCCCTAAAGAAAAATAACCCCACACCATAATCCCCCCCTCCAGCAAACTTTACACTTGGCACAATGCAGTCAGGCAAATACCGTTCTCCTGGAAACTGCCAAACCCAGACACCTCCATCAGATTGCCAGACAAAGAAGCATGATTGCTCACTCCAGACAACACGTCTCCACTGCTCTAGAGTCCAGTGGCGGCGTGCTTTACACCACGGCATGTGACGCTTTGCATTGCACTTGGTGATGTAAGGCTTGGATGCAGCTGCTCTGCCATGGACACCCATTCCATGAAGCTCTCTACGCACTGTTGTTGTGCTCATCTGAAGGCCACATGAAGTTTGGAGGTCTTTAGCTATTGACTCTGCAGACAGTTGGCGACTTCTACGCACTGTGTGCTTCAGCATGCGCTGACCCCGCTCTGTCATGTTTCGTGGCCTACCACTTGGTGGCTGAGTTGCTGTTGTTCCCAGTTGCTTCCACTTTGTTATAATCCCACTAACAGTTGCCCGTGGAATATTTATTAGCCAGGAAATGTCACGGATGGACTTATTGCACAGGTGGCCACCTATCACGGGACCACGCTTGGAGTCACTGAGCTCCTGAGAGTGACCCATTCTTTCACCACTGTTTGTAGAAGCAGTCTGCATGCCTAGGGGATGATTTTATACACCTGTGTCCATGGAGGGGATTGGAACACCTGAATCACATGATTTGGAGGGCTGGCCCAATACTTTTGGTAATATAGTGTGTATATGCTTTTCCATTGCCCTCTTGTAGGGGGAGGGCTTGGTTTGACAGCAAGGTCTGTATACACAAACCTTTCATCTATTGACTTGTCCAGACAATGAAAGCAATGCAACCCTTTGATATTATATGGCAGTCCCATTCATGTCATTTGGGACACGGGCTACAGAGACACAGCACTGCTCCCATTTTGACATCCATGGGAGTGCATGGCCCTGAATGCACACTGTCTGTGTTCAAGGCTGTGCCCCCATATCCACACAGGTGTAAGATTGGGAGCAGTGTCCCAATTGACATGAATGAGACTTCCCGCACAGGGATGCATGGAACACCCTTGCATGTGCAGGCAAACTGCTCCCTGACATGAGTGTACTCACACCGTGTGACCGAGGCCTAAGTCTGTAAGTGCTTGAATTAGTAACCGGCTAGAGCAGCTGGAGATCTGCAGGTTGTTTATTACTGTTCTATATAAAAGTAGTCTTTTTTTGAAATCCTCATTATTATTATTATTATTATACAGGATTTATATGGCGCCAACAGTTTGCTCAGCACTTTACAATATAAAGGGAGACAATACAGCAACAATACAGTTCAATACAAGAGGGAAAGGAGCTTACAATCTAGGAGGGAGGGGCTAGTGGTAAAAAAGGTAATTACTGTGGGGGATGAACTGGTTGGAAGAGTAGAAGATTCCATTATTAGCTGAGGGCAGGATAGGCTTCCCTGAAGAGAGAGGTTTTCAGAGATCGCCTAAAAGTGAGCAGAGTAGGCGATATTCTGATAAATTGGGGTAGAGAGTTCCAGAAGATAGGGGAAGCTCTGGAGAAGTCCTGGAGACAAGCATGGGAGGAGGAGACAAGGGAGCTAGAGAGCAGGAGGTCGTGGGAGGAGCGGAGAGGATGCTTTGGGTGATATTTAGAGACCAGATTGGTGATGTAATTTGGGGCAGAGTTATAAATGGCTTTATATGTTATTGTTAATGTTTTGAATTTTATCCGTTGGGCAATGGGAAGCCAGTGGAGGGAGCTGTATGTAGTTGTAGGCAGCGGATGGAGCAGTCAGCAGGGAACAGGCGCATTTCGACTGGAGATGTACTACGGCAATGTCCACACATGGAGGGGTATTTATAAATGCGCACAGTCATTTATACCACATAAGCAATTTATAAACGTATCTGAGGACACAGAAAAGCTGTCTTGTTGCCGTGAGCAGCATGGTCTGTCATCAGACACTTTTAGGTCCCTTGCACACAAGGCCATCTAGGTGCAGTCCAGCCCTTCCAGGCTGCAGTTTGATGGGCTGAATGCCCTACCAAGGGGTACCCATATTTAGGGCCCTCTGCATTCAGAGATGAAGGACCTATACTCAGGGCTCAAAGACTACAGAGATACCTTTACCCCCGGTTCACATCTATGCGGCCGTGCGGGCCGCATTTTGCATGGGCACGAGAGCCCGTTCATTTGAATGGACTCCCGTGCCCGTGACACGCAGGGAAGAAGTCCCTGCACTTCTTTGGAAAATGCAGCTGAGGTTCCCAGTACGGTTGCGTTTTCCAGTGCGGGCGGCGTTCCAATAGAACTAATGGCACCCGCCCGCGGGTCCGCATTTTTCTCTGCGGGTGGTGCGGCTGCACGGATATTTGCGCGGATCCGCAGCGGCACCACCCGCACAGATGTGAACCTAGGGTTATACTGCTGGATATAGAATTCTGTGTACTTTGTGAAGGTTGTGTCCTGGTTCTGATCATGAGTGCATGTTTGTTTTCACCTTCCCTACCTGCAGCTCCTCTCCTCACAGAAGAAATCTGCTGGTTTCTGGACATTTCAGTACTATCAGGACCTGTTTGATGTAGACACCTACCAGGTATTGGACACGTAGCTGGATGAAAATAAAATACATCATGATAGAATTGCATGTTGCAGTACATTGGGTTTTGGCTGCTGGTGCTGCTCACAATGTGAGGCTTTCCTGGGCACTAAGGAATGAATACTAAACCAGATAGTAGAATATCCCTCGCCCTTCACCTTAAAGCTGAACTAGGAAATGTCAAAACTATCCTTACAGTGGGGATCCCACAGCACTGCAGAGGTTACATTCGCATTTATACCTAGGGTACTAGTAAAGAGGACTTTTACTGGTGCTATGTTACCGGCCCCCATAGGCTCTTCCCTAGAGCGTTCCGTCCGTCTCTCTGCCTGTACTCTGACATCATCAACTACAATGGAGAGTGTTCTACCTGAGCATGCCGAGGGACCACTGACAGACCAGAGCAGTAGGGAGAAGAGTTGAGCTCTAGCTGGTGGTGCAGCAAGAAATAAGATATGTAAAGGTTTTCTGCTATCCTAGGCATTAATGGGGGCGGCACAGTGACTTAGTGGTTAGCACATCTGCCGTGCAGTAAATGGGTCATGGGTTCAATTCCCAACCATGGCGCCTCCTGCATGGAGTTTGCATGTTCTCCCTGTGCTTGCGTGGGTTTCCTCCGGGTACTCCAGTTTCCTCCCACACTCCAGAGACATGCTGGTAGGTTAATTGGCTCCTGTCTAAATTGTCCTGGTTTCATCCCTGGCTATGCCGGATCTCCTGCATGGTAGGGGTTGGGGAAAGACCTGGCAACCTACCCTGTAAAATAATTGCTAAGAGAATTCATGGAAAAAGTCGCTTACGAGTGATGGTCCATGCAATCGCCAAGGGTCGGATACGACTGAATGGATAGATGGATAGATATAGATGGATATATATAGATGTGGATAGATATAGATGGGGATAGATATAGATGGGGATAGATATATAGATGGGGATAGATATAGATGGGGATAGATATAGATGGGGATAGATATATAGATGGGGATAGATATATAGATGGGGATAGATATATAGATGGGGATAGATATATAGATGGGGATAGATATATAGATGGGGATAGATATATAGATGGGGATAGATATATAGATGGGGATAGATATATAGATGGGGATAGATATATAGATGGGGATAGATATAGATGGGGATAGATGTATAGATGTATAGATGGGGATAGATATAGATGGATGGATAGGGATATAGATGGATGGATAGGGATATAGATGGATAGGGATATAGATGGATAGGGATATAGATGGATAGGGATATAGATGGATAGGGATATAGATGGATAGGGATATAGATGGATGGATGGATAGATAGGCATTAATGGGCATTCACCCTTCGCAGTGCAGAGGGAGTTCCACTGCAAGGGAATTTTTTTTTTTGTTTTTTTCCTGGCATTCAGCTTTAAATGCTCAATTTTTACTTTTTTTTTTCTAGGGGGACATTAAAAAGACGTTTTACTTACCTTATTCCCCGCTCCCCTGGCAGCAGACGCTCAACTCTTCCCTTCGGGGAAGTGGGTTGTGAGTGGGCCCTCGGAGTCCTCACATTGCAGGACTGCTGGCTCTACTTTGTAAGTGATGACATCAGAGTATGACTGACGAAGAGAAGCGGCTGCAGGGGACCATTTATGTGGAGAGGAGGAGCCTTTGGGAGGTTAGTGAGAGGTTAGATGAAAGTGCTTTTTAATGACCATTTAACACTTGCAGTGCCTGGGGAGTAAAATTCAAAATTTTAGGTCGTCAGTTACTGTGTGTGCTTTCCTATTTTCTGTTACACTTTTAATGATGCTGGGAAGTATAGCTTTCTCTATATTTCCGGCTCTCCTACACAGCTGTTGTTTGCTGACCTCTCCTCTTCCCTTTCCATTCAGAGAACACCTTGTTGTGAAGGGAGTCACTTTGGGTGGGGGGCCCATGGAACTTAGCTCACTTTGGAGAGGTGAAGAGACCCCTGTCTCAGCTCCCCATATCCCTCTTATGTGTAAGTCACCCTGTGCCTGCTAGGGGTACAGGGTGATCTGTCCTAGTATTGTGTAGACATGTATAGGAGATAGGTGGGGGTTGTGGATTGTTTGGTGTTATGTGGTTGCATCCCATTGTTGTGTGTCTTGCTTGGGAGCAAAACTATTATGGGATGTATGTGTTTGTGTATTGGCTTGGTGGGTGGGGGGGGTGTCTCCAGCAGCCCTCCCTACTGATGGGACTGTCTGCTGGTGTGTCTCTTGTTACTAAATGTAGATTGCCCCACCCTGTGCCATTATGCAGGAGGGGGGGGGGGGGTTGTTCCCTTGAATGTATATATCTTGTATCTGTGTTAAAATAAACTAGTCTACTTCCTGGTTTACTTCAAGATTGGTGTTGTCTAGTCTTGTATGGTCTGTTGTCGGTGTTTAGACGGGGAAGTGGTATTCTAATGGAGTACCCAAGCACAGACTGGGGTTGGTTCCGTTACACTTGTGTAACCCATTCAATGTTCTGTGAATTGACAGAAGTGAGGAGGAGCGGACAGTGCGGTATGTGTGTAGGAGAGCTGCAGCCATTCTGTGATAGCGCCAGAAGTATAGCAAAAGCCATACTTCCTGGCAGTGGAAAAAGTGTGAATTGTAAAGATCAACAGGCAATCCAGGCGGTGGTATACACATCTTTACACTTAGGCTAAGTTCACACTAGCTTTGTTAGCAGGCGTTAGGCATTTGGGAAGCGTTTTTAACGCTCCTCAAACGCCTATGAAAATTCCACACATGGCAGCACACAGTGTTGTTCACACTGAAGCGTTAGCGTTGCAGCAAAATTGAAACCTCATGTCAAGTCAGGAGTTGAAGCTTCCCATTCAAATCTATGGTGATGCTCCTCAAACGCCTGGCAGGCGTTTGCGGGGCGTTAATACCATTTAACTTCATTAAAGGCGTTTGTGTTGCGGTTTTAATGCTTGGCAAACGCCTCAAAAATGTGCATAGGGCGTTTGGGGAGTGTTAAACACGCTTCCCCAAACGCCTGTCTAATGCCTGTCAAACGCTATAGGGGCATTTGGCAAGAGTTAGAAATTAGTCAAGTGTGAACGAGCCCTTAAAGTGGCTGTAAACACTTACATATACCCAACGAAGTGACTGGCCTCAGGTGATACAAAGAGATGAAACAAATCCTCCTACATAAGTTGTACCTGTTTATCTGCAGCCTTCTCTTCATGCGTTCAACATCCAGAATGTATACAGCCTGTCCGAGCTTCCAGAAAGCAAGGGGCAAGGAGCTGAATTTACACACTGCAGAGCTTTCTACATCCATTCAACATCCAGAATGTTTACAGCCTTTCTGCGCTTCCAGAAGTCAGGGGGTAGGGAGATGAATTTACAGAGCTCAGTGAGGGCTGATTGGAGGGAAGGGACACCCCCCCCTTCACACAGCACGCATGAACAGAGCTGAGGCTGTCAATCACAGACTGTGTGTTGGAGATCCCCTTCACTTTTTTTAGCTTTGTCAGAAGTGACTCTTGCAGATAGCAGAGGAAGGCGGCAGCAGAGTGAAATGACACTTAGTGCTCCGGATTGGGACAAGTACACATTATAGAGGGATATGCTTTGTTCATATTTCATATCTGAGGTTTACAACCACTTTAAAGTGGAACTAAACCCATCAATTTAACTGTTTTCCAAAACAGCTGCATTAAAGGCATGCCATGAATGATAACTGTCTCAGTTGCTTGTGCTCTCATATGAACTGTCAGACCATCAAATAGCTGGTGTCTTAACTGATCACACGTGCAGCATCATGGCAATTGCAGACCGAACAGTGGCTAGGTTGGCAGCTAAGCTTAGCTGTAAGGAATAGAAGGGTTTAGTTCCTATTTCTAACTATTTGTTACCCAGCAGATTTTAAATAAACTGTTCTTTAACCACTTCCAGTCCGGACACTTTCCCCCCCTTCCTGTCCAGGCCAATTTTCAGCTTTCAGCGCTATCACACTTTGAATGACAATTGCGCGGTCATGCAACACTGTACCCATATGAATTTTTAGCATTTTTTGAGACAGATAAAGCTTTATTTTGGTGGTATTTATTCACCACTGGGATTTTTATTTTTTTGCTATATAAATAAATGAAAAAGTCCAAAAATTTTGAAAAAAAGTTTTTCTTTATAACATTTTGCAAATAAATAATCTTTCTTGATAAATCTTGGCCAACATTTATTCCGTTATCTTTTTAGTAAAAAAAATAAAATAACCCAAATTAGTTTATAACCAAAAATTATAATTTTTCTAAATTTTTTTTTTTACATTTCTTTATTTGTTTTTATTTATTTTTTTACATACTGTCACCCTATCCATACAGTGTCACCATAGTGACACTGTACTACTTGTGGGGGGTGATGAAGATTTTATTTTTTACACTGATTGTTTTACATACATAAAGGCTGTAAAAGCAATCATTTCTCCTCTCTGGCTGCATTCTTGCAGCCATTGAGAAAAATTGTGAGAGCTGTGATTGGTCACAGCTTGTCACATGGTACAAGGCTGTTGTGAATAGCCGTGTACCATGTGACCTCTGTGATCATTCACAGATTTCACACGTAGTAAGCAATGATGTCAGAAGTGACATCTTGCTTACCACTCTTCATGTGTTCACTGATTGGCCAATCAGTGATCACATGATTGGGACCTCACACAGAGGTCCCGTACGACGATCGGTGTTCCACTGTGTCTGGAGGACACAGCAGGTACCAGTTTGCGATGCTGAGCACTCCGAGGGAGCGCGCACAAGCAGGGAGTGGGGAAGACATTTATAAACGGCCACCCGACCCTGCACTGCCACCGTCCGGCCGTTTTTTATACATGGGCCGGACGGGAAGTGGTTAAATGTGGTTTTATTTTTTTGCCTTGATGATCCAACCGTCATCTTAACCTGCATTTGAACACTGGGGAATATAATGTAAACTACTGCTCTAGCTACAAGCTAGAAACAGATTTATGCGCCACATACATGGAATGTTTTCAGACCATATTCATATTTTTATTAATCATTTTCAAATTCAAGTTTGCTAAGACCAGTTATGGGTCACAGGCCTCAAGTGAGCATCCCTGGGCTGCCAGGGATTGGTCAGAAAATCAGTGGATGGTTTTTGGATCTAGATATGGGCAATAAAGTTGACAGTGGCTTCTAAGACTGGGATTTGGTTTGCTTGGCAGTAACTTTGTTTTTGCAGACTCTAATGTCTGTTCTTGACTTAGGTGCTGGATAGGATACGAGCTTCATTCATACCGGTTCCTGGGAAGAATTTTGTCAGACATCATTTGCGGAATCATCCTGATCTTTATGGTAAGTGAAAGTGCAACTCCGGTAAGGAAATAAAAATACTTTTTTTTTTTTTTCAAACAGTAGATAAAGATTAGGAGAACTGAGTGGGACTTTGATGGCATAATACATACATTAAAATTATGAAATCTTTATTTTCATCAAAATGTGTGTGTATATGTATGTATGTGTATATATATATATATATATATATATATATATATATATATAACTATAGCATAACACGCCATTTTGACAAAATAATTCATATTGACATAGTATCATATCACCATTGAAGGATGCCGAAGAACAGTAATGCTAATGGGTTACAGAGATGATTCTGCAAGGTTCCGACGTGTTTCGGAGTGATAGAACGCCTTCCTCAGGGATAGCAAACACTCTGCATAAGAGTGATATAATCTGTCAGATTGAAAATACATTTATTTATTACGCATCGTATATATGACCAAAAAAGGTATCTGCCTGGTTCAAAATGTATGGATATACTCGCAATATGAGAAGGCCAAGAACGTAAATAAATTTTCAATCACATTAACAAGACTTCTAGTTGTCAGCACCTCCCGGCCAAGGCGCCTGCGAGCTCTGGGCACCTAACAATCCCACCAAAACGGAACATAGGGGCCACCCAGATCAAACCGTAGGACTGAAATAAGTTGCCACTTATAATTAGTGTCCTTGGCCCAGACAGCTTCTGATTACTATAAAAATGACAGTTTCATACTGCAGTCATGCCTCCAGCACTGTGACTATAGTACAATGAAATGATCATGTGGTTACCTCCCCATTCATCCAGGCACAAAACGCTTTGTAGTCCGTTCACAAAATACAAGGCGCTCTGTGAATAGACAAGGGAAAAGAAGGGGTGGGTAAACAAGAATCTTGAATTCTTTGGGGAAAACGCAAGGCTTTTTGTGAATGGAGGAGGGAAGAAGATGGGGTAAATGTCTAATGCTATAATATCTTTCATTTTTGTCAGGGCCTTTCTGGATCTGTGCCACACTTGTTATCACTGTCACAGTGGTGGGGAACCTGGCCACCTTTATCCAGATGCACGGCAAACCAGAGTACAACTACAGCCCCCAGTTTCACAAGGGTGAGCAATGTTAATATGTGTGTCTTGTCACTGATGTGTATGGGTTGGGAGTCTTGCTGTCTCTGTAGTAGATGGCTGATGTGTTGTTCATTCTGTGGCAGTGACGGTTGCTGGGATTGCCATATACAGCTATGCCTGGCTGGTACCTTTAGGTCTGTGGGGATTTCTGCAATGGAGGAAAAATGTGAGCCCAACAGTGGGGACCTACAGCTTCATGGAGACAGTGTGTGTCTATGGGTACTCCCTATCTGCATATATTCCATCAACAGTGAGTATTGGTAGAAATTAAAATGTCTGATCTCAGATCCATATTCTATCTCTTTTTCTTTCTCTCTCTCTATTTAACTAAACACCGATCATCCATAACATTATGACCACCCTCCTAATATTGAGTAGGTCCCCCTTTTGATGCCAAAACAGCCCTGACCCGTCGAAGAGTGGTCTCTGTAGCAAACTTGCTCGTCAGAGTGGGACGCGGAGTTCCCCCTTTTTTTTATTTAGAAGTATTCCTCAGTCCTTCATTCCCTACCCCCTCCCTTCCTGAGAGGCAAACGTTATAATCTGACAGATGGTGTGGGTCAACCCAGGTTAAGGCATCCCTAGTCCGGGGCCAGGCAGTCTGCAAAAGTGTAGCCTTCCTCACCTAAAGTCCTGATAAGGCCAGCATGACCCCAGAACTTGCGTAGGCTCACCTATCATAAAACAGATAAGGCAGTTACTCCCCGGATTTGAAAGAGATTGTAACCTCACAAAACCTAACCGTTAAAGATGACAGAATGAAATGAACATTCCTCAAGTCAGGTTTTTTCCCTATGTTTCATGTCATGGATTATGACAGATGTTGGTTCTAATTCAGAGTTCTCCTGACTGACCCCTCCCAAAACAGCAGTGGCCAGTGTTCAGAGCCGCCCCCCCCCCCCCGCAGAGGGATTTTAAAAAGACAGGCTGACAAGGCTAAGCTAAACACATCTCCTGATCTTAACATCTTAACAGAGGAGATCAAAGACCCTTTCTGCTCTGCAACTTGGATCTGCTTACAAACCAAGGCATATTGGCAAGTAACTAAATCCTTTAACTTCCTTCCTATTATCTCTTTGCTGTGTTGTGGGTCCTTATATGTGTGTGTGTGTGTATATATCTCTAATTACATTTTCTTTGTAAATATTTTATTGCATCTGTTTGACTCTTCTAGTAATAAATCTTTCTTTCTGAAAGTGTTAAACTGTTTCTAAGCGCTTACTTGCAATTCACGAATTCCTGCCTTTGAAGAGACGCTACTGTGTTTGTTTAATCCTCTGCCCAATCGGCCTGCGGTGACCGTATTGGACTGGCGACTTTTCAATCATTATAGTGTATATTTGATAACGGGAGTTTCCCAGTCTCCGACAAAAGTGGTGGTGGCAGTAGAGGGTTAGTTGTGTAATTAACCCGACCCAGTAACAAACGCATTCAGGCTACAGGCACCGATTGTAGCCCATTAGCTGGACAATCACTGTGCAGGGTGCAGCTGGGTGTGGCCTTGTTACGCACATCACACCGCGGTTTTAGATCGGCCGGTCCTTCGGTCACAAGTTTGGTGAGAAGGTCTGGGGTCTGACGCCGCTGTCGTGACGTATTATTGTTGGTCGCGGTCGTGCGGTTGTCGCATGTTGGCGGCGGCGATCGTGCGATCCTGACAGTCTCCACTAGATCTCTAAAGATATGCTGTGGTATCTAGGCATCAGTAGCAGATCACGGCCTCCACTGACTTGCCTTCTTCCCATAATGCCTCCTCCGTTACCATCTCTTCCCCAGGTGAATGATGCACACACACCCGACTTCCACATGGATGTAAAGGAAAATGTGGTTCAGCAGACCAGGCCACCTTCTCCCACTTCTTCGTGGTCCAGTTCTGATGCTCACGTGCTCATTGGAGGTGCTTTTGGCTGTGGACACGGGTCAGCAAGGGTGTTCTGACCATTCTGTGGCCACGCCGCCCCATACAGAACAAACTGCGATGCCCTGTGTGTTCTAACACCTTTTTATCACAACCCACATTAAAATATTCAGTAATTAAAGCTGCAGTATCTCTACTATTGGATTGGACCTCACAGGTCAGCTTTTGCCCCCCATGTGCATCAAAGAGTCTTGGCCACCCATGACCCTTGTGCTGGTTCACTGATTATTCTTCATTGGACCAGTTTTGGTCAGTTCTGACCACTACAAACCGGGCTCATTCCACAAGAGCTGCAGTTTTGGAGCTGCTCTGACCCAGTCGTCTAGCCATTACAATCGGGGTGCTTGTTAGTCGCTCAAATCATTACATGTGACCATCTGCTTTCAACACATCAGCTTCAGTGACAACATGTTCACCTGCTGTCTAAAGTATCCCACCCACTTTCAGATTCCATTGTAATAAGATAATCAATGTTATTGGTCATAATGTTGTGGCTGATCGGTGTATACCTCTTTTTAGAAAGACAGATGTTCCTTCTCACTTTTCATGCTTTATCTTCTAGTAAAAATGAAAGTGTAAATCGGATTGAAACTGGTCAGCTCAGTGGATTGCTTCAAAAAAGTCCTGGATTGTTTCTTATATTCTGTGTATCTAACTGGATATAACATTTATAGGTATAGTTGATCCAGGGAATATCTGATTGCCTCTCGGGGGATCAGGAAGGATTTTATTCCCTGCAGGAGCAAATTGGATCATGCTTTGCTGGGTTTTTTGCCTTCCTCTGGATCAACTGTGGGTATAGGATTATAACTTTTTTTTTTTTCTTTCTATGGTTGAACTGGATGGACTTTTGTCTTTTTTCAGCCAGACTAACTATGTAACTGTCAGTTTTGGCAGCCATTTTTTTTCTGTTTATAATATTCAGAATGTTGTTGGAGCCATTATGATACTACGTGTTCTTCTTTCCCTTTAGCTTCTCTGCGTCGTCCCGTATGAAATATTCCGCTGGATCATTCTTCTGCTGGCCATGTGTCTTTCTGCTTTTGTCCTCGTTATGGCTTTCTGGCCGCATATCCGCAGAGACAACAAGATGGTGGCTATAGGGATGGTGACAAGCATGGTGCTTCTACATGTGCTGCTAGCTGTGGGCTGCAAGGTGGGTACACCCATAAAGAACTGCTACTCTGAGCACACAGGAGATCTACATGACTGTGAATGGTCTTGCGTGTCAAAGGATTTGTAAATCTCTTCAGTCACATTTAGGCACTCCTGCTAGTGGGCACAACCAGCTTTGTACCCCCCTCCCTACAGACGGCACAACCAGCTTTGCACCCCCCCCCTCTCTACAGACGGCACAACCAGCTTTGTTCCCCCCTCTCTACACACACACAGTTTTTCTGTGCACTGAAAAGCAAACTACAGGTGAAACTCGAAAAATTAGAATATTCTCTCATCTTTCTCTTGGCAATGCCCCATCGATTGATGAGTCTATCTAATATATTAGTTTCACCTTTTAAGTTGCATTACTGAAATAAATGAACTTTTGCACAATATTCTAATTTTTCGAGTTTCACCTGTATTGCCTTTCAAGGCAAAGTAACAATGTCTCTGCAAAGGCCCCCCAACCTCCTTCTGCTCATCTTGCCTGGGCCTCTCTCACTGTTGCAGCCGGCAATAAAATCACCACTGATGGCATTCCCATGGTCATGTTTTAATGCTTGGCCCTTCTGATTGGCTGTACGCTATACAATCTCCTTTAGATTTACCAAAACTGTGTTATGTGGACAAAGCTAAACAATCCACTATAACCGCTTTACCGGCTCTCTATAGCAGATATACTGCTACAGGGCGGCAGGGGTGCGCAAAATCACGTGTATATAAGTGATTTTTCATTTCTGGGTAGGGGGCACGCCGGCATTCACGGCTGTCAATCACCGGGTCCCGGTTGGTGATTACCAAGCATCTCCGATGGGGAGGAGGACTGTTTTGTTTACTAACAGTCCTCCCTGTCAGCTCGGGCACACTGCTTTGGATAGCTGTGCACAGTACAGTCATCAAAGCAGTGTGCTTACAGTGAAGCACACTGACATGGCCCCCTTGTAAAACACTCCCTGCACAGTTAACCCTTTGATCACCCATGTTAACCCCTTCCTGCCCAGTGCCATTAGTACAGTGTCAGTGCTTTTTTTTTTTTTTTTTTTGTATTGGTGTCACTGGGGATGTCAGTGACACCAAGTCAGTTCCACCCCCCCAGTGTCAGAATGTCTGCCGCAGTCCCGCTATAAGTCACTGATCACCGCCATTACTAGCAAAAAAATTCCAGTATCTATACCACCATTTGTAAATGCTATAACTTTCACGTAAAGCAATTAATTTACACATACTGGGATTTTTTTATTTTTTTTGTAGCAAAGACATGTCGCAGATCACATTTTGGCCTAAATTTATGACGAAATTTGATTTTTTTTCCCCTATTTTTACTGGACATGTTTAATAGGAAAACGTAAAAAAATGTTTTTTTTTTTTTTCTAAAAATTTTGTTTTTTCTTTTTATAGCGCAAAAAATTAAAAATGTACAGGCGATCAAATACCACAGATAGAAAGCTCAATTCATGGAAAAAAAGAATGAAAATTTCATTTGGGTGCAGCGCTGCATGACCGCGCAATTGTCAGTTAAAGTAACGCAGCACCGTGACGCAAAAAATGGCCTGGTCAGGAAGGAGGGTAAATCCTCAGGAGGGCAAGGGGTTAACCTCTTCACGCCGGCTGCACACAAATGTGTGGCCTCCCGGCGTCTGGGCCTAGACGCCGAGAGGCTGCAGAGTTGTGGGCAATTAAGAAAAACATATGTGCTGAGAGTGTGCGCCCTGCGCGCTTCCAGCACACATGTCCGGTACTCACGGAAAGGCCCCGATCTCCTCTTTCGATCGGGACCTTTTCGGATCATTTGACCGCCGTAATGGCGAGTCCCGGTTGTCACATGACCCTAAAACCCGCCGCCCCCTGGCATCCGAAACCCTTAAAGGGTTGGGAGGCGCCAAGGGGTTAAAGACCAGGCCTTTTTGACACTTTTTGTTTACAAGTGAAATCAGTATTTTTTGCTATAAAATTAATTAGAACCCCCCAAACAGTATATATATTTTTTTTTCAGCAGAGGCCCTAGAGAATAAAATGCCGGTCGTTACAATTTTTTAAGTCACACTATTTTGCGCAGGGTTTTTTTTAAATGCAATTTTTTTGGGGAAAAAAAAACTTTAATGAATTGAAGAAAAAAAACAATTCAATATATAACCCATTTTTTTTGTAAAATATGAAAGATGTTACGCCAAATAGATACCCAACATGCCATGCTTTAAAATTGCTTGTGGGATGGCGCCAAACTACAGTACTTTAAAAGTCTATATAGGCGATGCTTTAAAAATTTCTAAAGGTTACCAGTTTAGAGTTCTAGAGGAGGTCTAGTGCTAGAATTATTGCTCTCACTCTAACATTTGCGGTGATACCTCACGTGTGCTGCGAACACCATTCACATATGTGGACCTGACCTACTTATGCGTTCACCACTGTGCGGGGTCGCTTTAAAAATGTCTTATTATTTCATTACATATTTTTTTTTTTTACACTGTCCCTTCAAAATAAATGTTTTATCACTTTTTTATTGCTGTCACAAGAAATGGTGAACATCCTTTGCGATAACAATACAGCATGACAAGGTGCTCTTTATGGAGAGGACCTTCTCTGTGTTCTGTATGAGGTGATAATGTGTATAAAGCTGTGTTATCAAGGAGCAGTAAGGGGGTATAGGAGTGGAGCACAGATTAGTGTCTTCTGCTCTACAAACACAAAGGGGAAGATTTACTAAAACTGGAGTGCTCAGAACCTGGTGCAGCTGTGCACAGTAACCAATCGGCTTCCAACTTCAGCTTGTTCAATTAAGCTTTGGCAATAAGACCTGGAAGCTGATTGGTTACTATGCACAGCTGCACCAGATTTTTCACTCTTCAGTTTTAGTAAATCAACCCATAGCAACTGGTTTGATGTCTTTGGATAGGTATGTATAGTCTCTGCTGAATGGGTGTTACTGCAGTGATGTACTGACTCCTCCAACAGGTCTTTGTAAAGCAAAATTAGAAGACTAGGGATGGTCATGTTACCTCACACCATTTTTAAAATTACTTTGTCATGTGAGAAGTGGGCAGGGTTCCATATTTAGCCTCCTTTTTAACAGGGCCATCTTAATAGCATCATGGGCCCCTGGGCACCTACCAGCCTGTATCAGGTATCTCTGTCTCAGTACCTGCATATGTCAGGCGTCCCCATCACAGATTCCCCTATTTATCAGGCGTCCCCATCAGGGAGCCCACTATCCATCAGGCCCCCCTATCCATCAGGGAGCCCCCTATCAATCAGGTGTCCCCCATCACAGAGCCCCCCTATCCATCAGGCATCCCCATCAGGGAGCCCCCTATTCATCAGGCGTCCCCATCAGGGAGCCCCCAATCCATCAGGCAGCCCCCTATCCATCAGGCATCCCCATCAGGGAGCCCCCTATCCATCAGGCGTCCCCATCAGGGAGCCCCCAATCCCATCAGGCGTCCCCATCAGGGAGCCCCCAATCCCATCAGGCGTCCCCATCAGGGAGCCCCCTATCCCATCAGGCGTCCCCATCAGGGAGCCCCCTATCCCATCAGGCGTCCCCATCACGGAGGCCCCTATCCATCAGGCGTCCCCATCACGGAGGCCCCTATCCATCAGGCGTCCCCATCAGGGAGCGCCCTATCCATCAGGCGTCCCCATCAGGGAGCGCCCTATCCATCAGGCGTCCCCATCAGGGAGCGCCCTATCCATCAGGCGTCCCCATTAGGGAGCCCCCTATCCATCAGGCGTCCCCATCACAGAGGCCCCTATCCATCAGGCGTCCCCATCATGGCTGAGACAGAGAGGCAGGCTGATGACATCATGATCAGCCAATCAGAGGAAGATGTGTATTGATTCATAGAATACAGAGCTTACCATGATTGGTTGAGCAGTGCTCAGCCTGACTTTGTTGTGATGTGGGTGTGAAATGGGATCTCCACGTCCCACTGCTGGAATACAGTGCTGTATACTGTATGTAGCTGAGGCTACATACCATTCATACAGCACATCCTGTTGATGCAGTAAATTGTTGGCTTGGGACAGCTTACTCCACAAACTATTTAAAGGACATTAAATGCAGAGTTAGACTTTTGTGCCAATAGCGGTCCCCAGCAGGCACTTGCTACAGCACCCACCTCTTCCAAAGGAATCTGTGATGGGAATATTTTACTAGAATTAGTGCCGTGTAAATTTTCAGTGCTGTTTATAAATGTCTGTAACCCTCCATTCATAACAAGCCTGACTTTGAAGTTGTGCGACTTATGCAGGCTACAGCTGGGTCGTTTATCGGCCGAATTGTCGGCCATAAAACTGGTCGTTCTGTTGCCACCAATGCTTACGAAAATCGGCCATTTTTTGTAGATTTTCCAGCATGACCGATAAAAGAAACGAGAAGGAACTGCAAAAATTGGCCAACGACATTGCCCACTAACAGTGCGAAGATTTATTTTTTTTTTTCAGATGAAAATTCAGCCGATAAACGACCCATCTATGGCCTGCATTAGACTCCATGTACACTGCAGGAGCTGTTCAGCATTTTTCAGCAGCCCCTGAACTCTCCCTAATGTTTTCCTATGTGTCCATGTACACAGAGTCGTTTACAGGCGTTATTTTTGAATGCACCAAACTTGTGTTCAGGAGTAGATTTTATCAGCATTTTAAATGCCAAACGCTTGTAAACGCGGCTAACCGCGTTTATAAGCATTTGGAAATTTTTATTTTTTTAGCTCTTTCATTCCAGATGCTGTCCAGAGCCTTTTTTCATCATGAATAATGCATGCAAAGCGTTTTCCCGGTACTCAAATGGACCCGGTACACCATACTTTGAGGTTTTGCATGAAAGAAAATCTATGTTACATTGCTGCAACAATTTCTGCACAGAAATGAGCCGGAACACATCCAAACACCACAAAAAAAATACAGCTAATCTCAACACATACTGCCCTCTGTGCTTCTGCTCCATGTCTGAAATAGTTAATTATTTACTGTTTTTCAGTGCTTTCTGGAAGGTCTCCTGAGGTCATCTTTAAAAAATGCTCATAAACGCGGTATGCAAATACAGCTAAACAGACATTTTTTAACCTACGTTTTCCAACAGTCCGTTTC